AAATTTACACTTTTTTTATTTTTGTTACAGTGAGAGAAAACCATCTCTCATCCCTTATTTCACTACAACTGCATATCATACGATCCGAATTCAAAATCTCTTACTTCCAGCGAAATGAGATAATCACTGTACTACTTAGATCGTTGATAATTATTAAGAGTTATGTCTTTATTTTCTTATAAGAAAAAATAATAGAAGGAAATTCTCATGGTACATACATACCCATAGCACACAATTGAAACTTATTAGGCCTTAATTACGTGGCAGTTCCATTTCGGCGTTGAGGTGTGAGGGAGGAGTAAGTAACGGCTGAGAAAAAAAAGGCAGTGTGGTTTTTGGTTTTTTGGATAGTTCACGTGAAGGAGGAGGCTGTGGTGGTGTCCGTGTAACGTAAAATGGACATTCTCTTCTCTTGAAAAACTCGTGTCCACTCTTGTTTCCGGCTCGTGAGGTCTTCTTCTTTTCTGTTTCTGTAAATATTCAAATTTTCCGGTCAAAAAAAGTCGTTAGATTCAACGAAGTCAACCTTTGAGAGTATTACAAAATCTCGCCGGGTTGATTTTGTGGTAAATTATTAATTTGTAGTCCGTAACACTTTACAATTTCTCAATCAAGTCCCCCTAATAATAATTTCCTTTCCAGTTAAGAACCTCAACAATTCATCTATTCAATAAGATTGGTTGGTATTGCTTTAACACTGAAATTATTTTTTTGTCCTTATATAATTACTCAATCAATTAATTATTTTAATTAAATTAATATGACTAAGGAAACAAGCTAATCAAATATGACTAACTAAAAAAACTCTCTCCTGACTCCTAAGGTGGAAGGCAATAGAATACTAGATTGAGCATTGTTGCCATGTTTACTTGTTAGTTATTATCAAATAATTAACAATGATATAGTTATAATGTCATATAGAATTATTAATTTATAATTATATTGTATTATTAAATAAATAAATAAATATTATATTATAAGTGAATTTTTAAATGAAAAAAGTCAATCATATAATGATTGCTCAAAATTGTAAACTTACAATAACATATGTAACTATATCATTTTCACAATCAAATTAACACTCCCTAAGACAAGATCTAGCACCATTTTCTAGTTCTTCCTTACTCTTGTGAGTCGTGGATCATTCTAATGCTCCCTTCACCAAAAGCTTGTTAGTTACATTGCCTTTCAAAAAAAAAAAATTATTTATATTTGCTTATCATATTTATGATATATTTAAGTAATATTTAATTAAGAGTTCCAATTAACTAATTTATAAAGTATAAACATAAAAATGTAGGATTTAGCCTTATTTGATTCAATTGAGGGATGACTCGCTTGATTGAATATTTTAAAGTTTCCATAATTCAAAGAGTTTTTCAATGTATTTTTTTAAAAATTTCAAAAAGAATAGAACTTTACCAACCCTCTTAGTTGTTTTTCCATTTTTCTTTATCTTTTCCTTTTTCAATCGTGAAGGTTCTACCAAGGACCGGAGTAGGATCATACAACAATCACCGACCTCTAAAATCAACAAACTTTTATACTTAGGAGTTAAATCATATAAACCACAAGGGCCAGTTTAACAATCCCACCATTTAACAGACTGAATTTGATTACAAATTCAGCTTGATTGGGGGGGGTATGGGAGCAAAAAAAGATGTGACGCGCCAGTAAAGAGACACGTGGGAGAATAGATGAAACCACAACGCAGCTACTAATTCCCCCATTTGTCTTTGATGAATTCAAGATGCACACTCCGTCTCTCTTCTATTACATCAACTTTAACAAAATAATTGAGGGTCGATTTTTTTATTATATTTTAATATAATTTTACGTATCATTTAAATTATTATTATTTTTATTTATTTAAAATTTATAATATTAAATTTATGCACTTATTTAATAACATAAAAAAAATCAAAAATTATCTTTATATACAAAAAATTATTCTTATATCATTGTCCTCAATCTTACGTATCTGTACAAGCAAAATGGTGTGTATATAAAGGCTTCAAAAAATCATTTCATTCATCCCCAGCTCACGAGATATAACCCAAGAGCTAGCTAGTTGCATAGAAGAGAGAAAGCCCTTGTACTTCCTCTGCGTTCTTCCTTGGCTCTTAAACAAAGTCAATCATATTCCATTGCACTTACCATGGCTGCAATGACCAACGAGCAGTGGGCGTTTGCATTTGGCATCTTAGGTAAAATACCACTCCCTTATTGTCCTCCATCCCTACTCTATCTTCTTGAACTTGTTTACATACTACATAGCCAGGTTTTCTCCATTTCGAAAGCTGTCTAAACCATTTTTTAGCTTCTAAATCCATTCTAGTTGTTCTGATCCTTCAACTTTTAGCAGTTCATTAATCTTTTTTTTTCTTAATAAGATAAAATAAGAGTTCAACCTGTGAGGGAAAAAGCATAGAGAAGGGGTTTAGATAGGTTGAGACTCTCGTCGCTAGATTTAACCTTTGATTCAACCTTTTTTTCTTCATAGGGTTTTTCCTGTTTAGTTTTTTCTTGTTGAAACAACCATTGCTAGATGCATTCCTTCTTGTAATTAATAGAAAAATCTTTCTAGTGGAAAGAGGGTAGGTGGTCAAATTTAATTATTTTGGTACAAAATGATGACTTAGATATCTTTCTAATACAACCTTTAGTGTTAAAGATTTTTTTTTTTATTTTTATGGAACTTGTAATTATGGAGCTACAGTAATTCTTTTAATAAATGCTAACTAAAATCTGTTTTTGCAATTGACGTGACACAGGCAACATCATCTCAACCCTGGTATTCCTGGCTCCAGTGTAAGCATTCATTAATTTCTGCAATATTATTGTTACCTTTTCTTCACGTAATCTTGATTGAATCATCTCAACAAATATATGAAATTCATTAATTATTTTTATTTTTATTTTTTTGAATTTCAGTCCAACATTTTATCGAATTTACAAGAAAAAATCGACAGAATGCTTCCAGTCATTGCCTTACCAAGTTGCATTATTCAGCTGCATGCTTTGGCTCTACTACTCTTTGCTCAAGGGGATATCCAGTGCCTTTCTTCTGGTCACCATAAACTCTTTCGGATGTGTAGTTGAAACCATTTACCTCACCATGTTCTTTTCTTATGCCTCAAGAAAAAGTAGGGTACGTAATTCTTTTTTTTTTTTTTGGGTACATAAGGTTGTTGTCTTGAGTATATAATATGATTCAAGATTTACATGTATTACCTTGCATGGCACGGGGCTGATCTATGTAAGTTTGATATTCGGACTGCAGATCTCCGCAATGAATCTCTTTGCTTTCATGAACGTGGGTCTATTCTCTTTAATTCTTATCCTCACACACTTTGCCATCAGATCAGCTCCAGCAAGGATCTCTGTTCTTGGCTGGATTTGTGTTAGCATTTCTGTCAGCGTCTTCGCTGCACCTTTGAGCATTGTGGTGAGTATTCAGCAAAATAAAGTAATTAAAATTTCATTTTCATTCATCACGTTTCTAGAATCAAACAAAATGATCTTTTGTTTTATTACACTTTACATGTTTCAATCATAGAAGACACAATGAAAATGAAATTGCTAGAAACTTCAAGAAAATCTTGGCATGATTAATTTACTGTCACATAAAATATCCAAATTTTATACCATATATGTTAATAAAAACAAATATCATGATTTAGCGACAAATTCATCCATCATCTACAAATGAATTTGTTCCAGGTACGAGTTATAAGAACAAAGAGTGTAGAGTTCATGCCCTTCAACTTATCATTCTTCCTCACATTAAGTGCGATTTTTTGGTTTGCTTATGGAATGCTCAAGAAGGACTTATGTGTTGCGGTGAGTTACCTAACATCTAATATGCAAAAAAACTCTCATAATTTTATTTCACTTCACCCTTGTTATGTACTAATGATTTTCATCTTCCTCTATGGTTCAGCTTCCGAATGTTGGAGGATTCATCTTGGGGACGCTCCAGATGCTTCTCTACGCAATGTATAGAAACAACAAAGGGGTCATAGATGAGAAGAAGATTCCGGAAAACACGAAGAACGTCACCATGGTGACTACAATTGTCCCGGACGAAGCTTTTGTAGTGGATATACATGTCGAGGAAGATGCAAACGAGAAGGAAAAAAAAGAGGAAACAGTAGAGAAAAAGGACGAAAGCAAGGAAGCTTCTGGTGACCAGAATGAATGCCAAGTTTGATGTTCACATGTATGATGTTGCCCATTAATCAAGAATTTACCCTTTATTGTTATGGCCCCCTATTTTTATCTCTTTCCAACTTTCCCTCTTCTCCATGCAACCATATTCTGGCTTTCAGCACCGAATAAGTGATCCACACAACCACAACCTTCTTGCTTTTGTCCTTATTTATACAGAGAGAAATTATCTGGGGGCCGCTAAATATAAATGACATTTATTTTGTTTTGGCCCCTGTTAGCCCTATCAATACTTGACATATTGTACTATTATTTGGTGTTATAAGAATTAATGACTTGCCCCAGCTTTGCAAAAAATCTAACTAATTAATTTTGCTCTTGTTCTTCATTTAGGAAGTTCATTAACCGAAGGCTAACTGATTTCTTAGTGGTTGGGCAGCTTCATGAACTCTTATTGTCCACCACAATACTTGAAAAATCTAAGAATGCTTTTTATGATACTCTAACGTTTAAATTAGTAATACTTTATAATTTAAAAGAAAAAACTTTTAAAAAAAAGTTATTACAGAGAAAAAAACTTAGTGAAATTATTATTTTATATTGAGATAGTCGAAAATATTTATAGATCCTATTCATGATAGTATTGTCATATGTTGTTACTTAATTTCTTGAATATATCATGATTATTGTGTCAATACTTTTAAGCTTCGTACGGCCTTTTAGGCCTAATTGTTGATACTGTGCCTATTCCCCAACACTTGAAAATCCGCAAGCAAAAAGATCACAAAAGCGAAATTGCTTTCAAGTTGAACAAGCTATCACTAGATTTAAATCATTTCGTGTTTTAGTTCCTCCAGAAGTAATTACAATCAAAAAGCCACATATGGGTATTCAAAAGGGGGAGTATTCAGCTGCATATGAAGGAAGAGTTTGAACAGACACCAGAAGAGATAATTTATTTTTTAAGTTACTTCTATTGGATGGAAAATATTCATCAAGAAGAGTACAACATGACAACATAAATGCTCCGGAACAAGAACCCTACAGGAGCAAGGAGAAGAATAACATTGATCTGGATGATGGATGATTTTCAAAATTTTCTAAATACACAACGTCATTCTGCTCTTGCTCTTCTAGTTCTAGTAATGTACACTCTCCATGGTACTTTTCATCATCTTGCTCAGTGATTTGAGGGGGCAAAACAAGAGAAAAGAGAAAGTAACAAAACTGCTACAAACATGTCAGCATCAAGTTCCTTACAATGAGCACCATCTCTCTCCCTTTTAGGGCAAGGACAACTGGACAAGCATGGTCTATAGCTGTTTACATGAAAGCAGAAAGGCCTAGGAATGGTTATTAGCCAGCTCCAGTGAGAACGCTAGAGTATAGTTGGTGGGGAGATGGTGCCTAGCATATTTACCGGGATACTATCCATTGGAGCCATCAGAACTGCCCTGTGCACTTTGTCGCCTCTTTTCTCGCAAATTCTCCCCCCACATCTTTGCCTCAGCCACAGCCCGTTCTCTATCAAAATCCCGGTTCATCAGCCTAGCAGTGTCTCTTGGAGAGTCTTCCTTCTCGGAGCCAGATCCTCCCCCTTCCTCATTCTTTAATATCCTAGCAATTCTGTCATCTCTAAATCTTCTCTCATCTTTATCCCCAGGACCTCTGTGGCCATGCCCTGCTGTATTAGAATCATATGCCTGGTTAGCCAAATAAGAGAGAGCAGTGACAACATCCCCAATCAATGGCCGTATGGAAGCCTGTTCTTGAATGCACATGGATGCCACAGCTAAAGCTTGGTAGAGGCCTCGCATTGGAAACCGTCCCTGTAGCCTAGGATCTGCCAATCTTGAAAACCTCCGTCGGTCATTGAATACTGGACGTGCCTGCACATACATAATGCAAAATAATACTCAATGAGTACACAACACGGTCTCTGCTTTCCACACACACACACACACACACACACAAAAGTTAGGTTACTGAATTCCATGCAGGCATGAAGACATGTTCAAAGTTTATTACCCATGTGACAAGATTCTGCTCTCCATGAGGTCGTGTACTATCTATGGCTTTACGTCCAGTGATCAGCTCCAACAATACTACACCAAAACTGTAGACATCAGATTTAACTGTTAATTGCCCAGTCATGGCATACTCAGGAGCACAATAGCCATATGTCCCCATAACCCTGGTTGAAACATGTGACTTGTCTCCAACAGGACCAAGTTTTGCAAGTCCAAAATCAGATAGCTTTGGCTCAAACCCTTCATCCAGTAATATGTTGGATGACTTGAAGTCCCTGTAAATAACAGGAGGGTTGGCTTTATCATGCAAGTATTCCAACCCTTTAGCTGCACCAGCTGCTATCTTCATTCTAGTGTTCCAATCTAGAGGCTCCTTATCAGGTGGAAGATCTGCAGAGAGATAGATGTCAAAGTATTTTTTCTCTGGCCAATGAGATAGATATTAAATTAGGAACTATTTTCCCTCTTGTCAGAGTTGATCTTTAAGAGGAGGTTTACTAGGTAAAATTTGTTGAATGACATGAAACTGCAAAATGATAATATGCTTCTACATTGACTAAAACCACAAATAATGCAATTAGAAAACATTATATTACCATGCTAATTATGGCAGAGAACTAAAAGTTTGGAGCTTCAGGACTATAAAAAGCATAGAGAAACATGCAGGTCATCCACAACAAATTACTCTAAGAATCTTGTGGTGCCAGTTGTTTACTAGTTCAATTAATTTTTTCAAACTAAAGTCAACCTTAAATTCTAGCCTCATTCAATTCACCACAAGTGCCAACTCACTTAAGAAAGAGAGTGGCTGAGCCATGCCACTTACCTGAGTTATCAGACAGCAGGAAACATGTCTATGTCCTCACAAATACAGCAGTTATATCAATGCAGTTGCATTTCATTTAGATCTCATATGCAGTTATTAAAGCTTCCAATATCTAGAAAAG